GAACGAGAATTTAGTAAGAATTTAGATCTAGATTCTATTATAGATGAATTTCATGCTATAAAACATCGTCGAGTATAACTGTAATAGGTAACATTATATTACAATTTTTCTTGTAATATATAAATTTTATTCGTACATTAAATTTTAAAAAAATTTGCCCCCTTACAATTAATTACTTGCTCTGCCCCTGAACATGACAAGTATTTGATCGCATCGAAATTGTTCTTCTATCCACTGTGGGTACGATAAGACTGTCCACTTGTTGATGTGGCAGGATAATCTTATTTACGATTCTCTTCAAATGTGAGTGTCGTAAGTACAGTTCTTTCCGAACGAGCAAGATAAGACTTTCCACTGTGAGGGCAGGAGAACATTTTTGAATATATCATAATATCAACTCCAATATTAACTTTTTATTGCACACATTGCTTTAGTATTTGAACATGTATATGTGTAAAATACTCTTTTTCTTAATGCTCTATTTCAAGAAAAAATTGGTACTAGTATATGATAATGGATCACACGTCCACGTCTCTTGTGTGCGTGTGAGTTATTTTGCAGAGTTAAAAATGAGTTCAGTTTAATTAACTTTGTTATTTGCATGTTACTTCATTTATCAATCATTTATTAGTTTAACTCCTTTATCGAATAAGATAAGCTTGAACAAGCCATAGATGAGCCAATCTCAAGTAAAGTTCAATTGGCTCAATCCTTTAAGAACCCTAGACACATCATAAACAAATTTAATCAAACAAATATCAAATTCTATAGATGAAACCAAATTCAGACCTAGAGGCACATCGAGAACAAAACAAAAATGAAATATAAAATAAATAAATAGTAATAGAAAAAGAAAATAGAGTTCACCTCAAATGCAGCATTGAGATTGAGGTTTGCACATACATTAACAAACTTTTAGCAAATAAAAGATTACTCAAAAATACTTTCCATAACGATAAAATTATTTTTCAAGTCAACGGAGAAAGTAGAGTGATAGATAGTAAAAAAAAAATCGNTAAAATTATTTTTTAAGTCAACAGAGAAGGTAGAGTAATAGATAGTAAAAAAAGTAAAGATGAAAAAATGTCTGCA